CTGCGAGGGGAAGCGAGGGGAAAGGGGAAACGCCGTTAGTCGTATTCGGGGAGTCGGGGATTTGTGTGTTGGGGGGGAGGGGGGAGGGGGGAGGGGAGGTACACGGTTTATATGTTGGAGGAGAAATGGTGGGAGGGAGAGAGGAAGAGAGAGAGAGAGAGAGAGAGAGAGAGAGAGAGAGAGAGAGAGAGAGAGAGAGAGAGAGAGAGAGAGAGAGAGAGAGAGAGAGAGAGAGAGAGAGACAGAGAGAGAGACAGAGAGAGAGAGAGACAGAGAGAGAGACAGAGAGAGAGACAGAGAGACAGACAGAGAGACAGAGAGAGAGAGAGAGAGAGAGAGAGAGAGAGAGAGAGAGAGAGAGAGAGAGAGAGAGAGAGAGAGAGAGAGAGAGAGTAAGAGAGAAATATTTCAGCGTAATAGAACCATGGCTTGGCAAACCAAATAACACAAATATTAACCTGAAAAAAAATAACAACAGCAACACCAATCGGCAGCATCGCGTCATAATGTTATATATAAAAAAAAGTTTTTTTTACAAAATAAAGAAACACTGCCAAATAAGACCATTCTCCTAGTCATCCATGTTTACTACTTCCTCGTGCAAAGTCGCTTTTATTCAAATTCTATTTATAATGTTCATGTTCCCCGCCTCAACGTCCTGTTTCAGCATGGGATTAATTATGCAATTGTATGGTGAGTGAGTGTGAGTAAGCGTGTGCGTAAGCGCGTGAGTAAGCGTGTGAGTAAGCGTGTAAGTGTGCGTGTCCGTGAATGTGTGGGTGTCTGTATTAAATATACACAATCGTATAAATGCTTTTAAAACATTATATGTAAGAAAAAAAAATACCGCCACCGCCATAACGTTGTTTTTGAGAGGTCACAAAAATCGAGTGAGAGCCCAGAAGCCCCAAGGAAAAGGGTAAGCTATCGCTACGAGTGACAGAGGCAAACACTTGACTCAAGATGTTTTCTCACCTTTGAGATGTCATGCAACACTGGTGCATGGCCAGGGTGGTGGCTGCAGGCAACAGAAGCGCGAAAAAAACACTTTGTTAATGCACTAAGAAGTTATAAAACTATGTATAGCCTGAAGCAAAACAAATATATAATTCGAGAACATCTACAACTACTGCAAACACAGTGCGTGCGTGAGTCAGTGCCTGAGTATGAGTGTGTGTATTTGTGTACAAGGGTAAGCATGAGATTGAATGTTAATGTGAGTATGAGTTTGGGTGTGTTTGCGCGCTCGCATAAGTGTATATACCTAACAATACACAACAATACACAAAAGATATATACAGAAAGACATGTCCACACTACAAACCGTCACCCCATGCAATGTCATTAGCAAACCCAGTCCAATTAGTACACTGTCAGAAGGTAATTAAACCCACATTAGTCTAAACCCACAGCATTACTCACAGAAGGCGGCAACATGAACAGTATTAGGTAACTTCGTAAAGATGAAAAGAGCCAAAATTATATAAGCATGCAAGACCACAACTCTGCGTGCAATTGCAGGGCGGAGGCTCCATCAGCTGAGGGTGTTGGAAGAGCAGACAGAAGTAAAAAGAGAAGAAATGAAAAAAAGGGAATGAATGGAGAGAGGAAACGATAAGGAGAGGTGGTAGATGAAGAAGAAGAAGAAGGAGAAAAAAAGAGGTAAAAGAAAAAAAAAAGAAGAGGTAGAAGTAGAAAAAAGAAGAAATAGAACTAGAAACAATTTGAATTAGAATAACAATGGGACAAATAAGAAAAAGAAACAAAGAAAAGGGTGTAAAAAAAGAAGTAAAAAGAGAAAGACAAAAAGAAAAAAGAAAAAAGAAAGAAAAAAAGAAAAAAAAAGGAAAAACACATTTCGACATTTTAAGACGAAATCCCTTTACAAGGGGATCAGCGTCTCATCTGCATACGAGGATAGACACCCATCCTGACTCATGACGATTTTTCTTATGATAAGTGACCGAAGGAATGAAATTAATGAAAATCCTTCAAAATAGAAAAAAAATTGCCTCTAAGTGTGTTCAGAGGGTGGGGGGGGGGGGGTATAAGAAGGGAGAGGGAGAAGAGACAGGGGAGAAAATGGAGGAAGGGAAGGGAAGGAGGGAGGGGAGAAAAGAAGACAATGAGAGAGGAGGAAGGGGAGAAAAAAGAGGGAGGGAGGATGAGAGATAGAGGGATAGAGGGAGGGAGGGAGGGAGGGAGGGAGGGAGGGAGGGAGAGGAAAGGGAAAGGGAGAGGGAGAGGGAGGAGAGAGAGCTATATAGTGAGAGTGAAAGCGAGATTTAAATAACCCGAAGAGCAGGGGGCACCAAAGCTTAATTCTACCAAAGGCAAGAGTAAAAAAGAATAATGATAAAAGGCAAAAAAGTAGAAAAAACAGACCCCCCCCCAAAAAAAAAGTGATAGGCCTACATGAAAAAAGGAGGAGAAGGAAGAGGATGCTGAACCAGAGAGCCGAATCCGTGGGCGGCAGGAGGAGGAGGAGGAGGAGGAGGAGGAGGAGAGAAAGGAGCCCTGGGCTATAAGCACCAAGGTCTACCCCCTCTCTCCCCCACCTCCTCCTCCTCTCCCCAACGCCACCTTCCAACCCCGCCTCGACAGACAGACGCCTACGCCCACTTCTGCACCTCACTCTCGCCCTGTACCGCCCGCTGTCTCATTTTCGTTTTCATTCTCTCGCTCACTCACTCACTTACTCATTCAATCACTTGCACTTTCTCTCTCTGTCTCTCTCTCTCAATACTTCTCTATCCCCTTTATTCCAGTTACCTTAATTTTTCCCCTCTTCTCCTTGTTTCCTTGCTAACTTGCTCATTAAAGAAGACATAATAACAGACATGAGAACAAGACCAAACCGAATTAAATACCGCAATTAAACAGCATCAGTATAAGGAAAGGCAAATAGGCCCGGACGACGGATTAAGTAAACATACAGGCCTGGCCGAAGTACAGAATACACAAATAGGCCTACATGATGCAGAACTAATGGCCCTCTCAAACGACGCAGAACTCCATCGGCGAGTTGAAGTCACTGCGTAGGACGGGGCTACACACCTTCATCCATCTCAACTTTTTCCCGCCATCCTTCTATCCTGCAGGACCGCTACCTCAACCCCCCCTCACCTCACTTCATCTCCTCCCCCTTGCCTCTCATCCCCCCCTCCCCTCCCCTCCCCTTGCCTCTCAGCCGATGGTCTCGTCTGAGATATTTACTTTCGAAGACTTTTTTTTTGTATAGCTGGAGTGTTCTCCATCACCTTCTCCTCCTCCTCCTCTCTCTTTCTTCCTCTTCCTTTTCCTTACTCTTCCTCTTGTTATTCCTCATTTTTTTCGGATAATCCTCCTCCAGCTCCTTCCTCCTCCTCCCTCTCTCTTTCTTGCTCCTTCTCCATCTCCTCACCCCTCTTCTCATCATCCTCATCATCATTCTTTCCTTTCCTCTCCCTCCCCCTCCTCCTTTTTTTCTAGTTTCTCTCTTCTCCCTGTCCCCCATCCCCTCCCCACTCCTCCTACCTACCCCACCCCCCCTTCTGGAGGTCATTAAAAGTCACCTTCAAAGATCTGACTCGATCTACTTTCTAACATTAAAAGGCAAACAGGTAAAGATGTTATGACGATTTCATCCTACATTATCCACGGTCTGCGCCTGGCTGGATTAGCCTACGATAAAAATGATAAAATAAATCATCGACCAGCATTCTTAATTAGTTCATTCTTTCACAAAAATAGATAAAGGGATTGAGACAAGGACACACACTACTGAACCTATAGTGAATGAAATCTATCATGTTATATTAAATATAATGAATGGAATCTAACGAAGACAATGAATATCCATACGTGAATGCACGGAACACAGAAATGGACCCACAGACAGAAAGACAGACAGACAAATATAATGAACAGATCAACTCCTCCCTTTCCCGACAGAGTGACCGACAGCTCGACAGACCGATAGACTGACAGGAGCCAAGGCGAAGTCGAAGGAAGGTCTGAAGAAAACCTAAATGTCAAGTGCGAAGAGTTTAAAGAAAAAAATGGACCCCCTCTCCCTTCTCTCCCCCCTCCCCCCTCTCCCCTCCCCGGCTCTACGTGAAGGATCGCCTTCTTTCACACACTAAAGGGAGGGAGGGAGGGAGGGAGGGAAGGGATGAGTGAATAGGGGGGAGGGGGCGAGAATAGGGGAAGGGAATAGGGATGGGAGAGGAGGAGAGGGCAGGTGGGCAAGGGAACATGGAGGAGGAGAGAGCAGGTGGGCAAGGGAGGGGAGACGTGGGTATGGGGAAAGGGAAGGGAGAAGTGGGCAGGGGGAAAGGGGAGGGGGGAGTGGGCAGGGGGTAAGAGAGGGGAGAAATGGGCAAGGGAAAGGAGAGGGGATAGAGGTAAGAGAGCAAAGTAGGGGAGAAGGGGGCAGGGAGAAACTGAGGAAGGGACAATGCTTAGTAGGGAATGGGTATACAGGGATAGGGGGCCAGGTGGTAGAGGCGACACGAAGAGAGAAGAAAGGAGGGGAGGTAGAAAGGGGGGGGGGGAGACATGAAGAGAGAAGGAAGGAAGGGAGATGGAAAGGGGGGGGGAGGAGAGATGAAACAAAGGAACTTTTCTTTTGCTAGAAATTCAGAGCGATAAAACCCACGAGAAGTCCTTCGAAACAGTAGCAGATTAATAACCATCAACCTCACATCTATAAAAAATGAAATCCTCTAAAAACGACAAAATAAATCAATAAACAAACAAATAAACATAGATAACGGAAACTAAGATCAGAAGCTACGAGAAAAAACGAATCTATCAATAAACAACTTCGCAAAGATCTACCAAATGTCCTCAAAGCGACAAAGAAAAACAAAATAAAAAGAACGAAAACAAACAAGAACAATCACAAATCAGGCTCATTAACAAATACCGGTACATGACAGATGTCGAAACTGTTCAGGAAAACGAATCGAGAGGGCAAGAATATCGCTTAATTGATTCGAATTTACAGTTAAATCTCG